AAAAAAAAAAAAAAAAACAGAAAATAAAAAAAGATAATAATAATAAATTATCACTTTAATGAAAATATCAAAGAACACTATACATTTTATCCCAAAAAACTACACTACCCGGTGGAAAACAGATGCCCAGAGAGATTAATGGATATATCGCCCAATGTTGTTGTAAGTCTTGTAGGCCAAAAATTGCTTTGGAATCGTCATAATGATTAGTACAGCAGATTGCAAATCATATTTTACTACTTACTTTTGATTCTGAGGTAAAGCTTGCTGGAGTTGGATACAAAACCAATGGTTACAACACACGTGTACACAGCACTATCTGACTCTTCTGTTGAATTCAAAATCAAGTTACTTCCCAGATTAGAAACACGGTTCTCATAAGTTGGATTGGGGTTTGCAATAATTGTTGATGGATCTATAATGGTTATGGTATTAACTCTAATATCAGATCCATTACATAGTTCTTTATTCCATCCGATATTTCTTATTCCACCAATATTTGTCTGGAACTGGCATGGTAGAAAAACATCTGTTCCTGCATTTACGTCAAATGTTTGTCCGGCATCTTCTATTGTGATACGTTCCTTAACTTCTGCAAATTAAGATAAAAGTTTGCATTAAATTTCGTATACATGTGTAATCATAACATCAGGTATCATATCTGGACTGTAAACTTATTTAGAAATTTAAGTGTACATGGTATGTGCAAAAAAAGTAAAATTAGTTGAGTGGGGAGATTGGGAAATGTATCTGTAAGCATTAAAAGCATTAAACGTTAAAAGTCAACGAACGTAATATATTAATATTAAAACAACCGCTTTCAAGCCGACTGGGTTTATATTATGCCCTTAAAAGTAATGCAGTGTATTTCGACACTAACACTAATTTGCCAGCATCGTAAAAAATTGTTGTATTCATTTTTTTAAACAAACATAATTTATTGCCATAGGTCATTAAAACCCCATATATACCTACTCTTTAAAGTAACGGTGGTTTGTTTATAAGAGAAATAAGGGGCACCGCATCCTCGGGCTATGAATATACTACACGTGTAGTTGCCAGCATCTGTTGTTGTTGCTGCAGAAATATGTACTGTGGCTGGACTGGTGAATGTGTAGGGGCGGTTCCAGTTATCTTCTTTAGCGGCGTCCAACACATAATTATTGAGCACGGGGATCGTTAACCATCTACTTTGGGGGTTTTTGATTGAAAAAATATAGAACGGTTGACCATGGAATCCAGCGAAAAAGCTGCAGTCCACAGTGACCTGTCCGCCATCATTACCATACTGACGTTCCGGCACTTTCCATTGGAAGTTGCAGGGTGCAGCCTGGACATATGATGCTAGAAAAGTAAAAAAAAAAAAAATAATAATAAGAGAGCATTCCGAACAAGTTAATATGCGGACTAACAGATCCAGGGATCAAATATTGGCCGCCACTTAAAAACAATGCTGAATTATCCCCTAATGTTCCCCCTGCCTCCACACGCCCCGTTCCCGCAGGGGTCTAGTCATTTAACACCGTAACAAATATCTAATCCGTTTAATGGCTCGGGTGGAGGCGGTGATACCATCAGGGGACTAGACGGCATGCTTTTAAGTGGGCTTGGCCATATTCAGTCTGCGGACCATCTGTTCTAAAAGAAAACTTTTTGAATCTCCAAAAAAAAAAAAAAAAAGGGGGAGAAGCACATCACAAATCCAACCACCG